GGGGGTGGTGTAACTGTGGGTAACAAAATGTGCCTGATATGAGGAACCCACAGCTGCTGTGTTATTGATGTCTCACTATTGCGACCTCCTAGGCTTATATCAGATAGTACGAGTTTAATTCCGTCGAGGGGAAGTTCATTCTGTCGAGAACCTGTGTCTTTTCTTCTGAAATTATAATGGATCTTGTTCTGTGTGGATTGGTCCTGAATGGCATGGTCGAAATAGACCGCTTTCTAAATGTCTACATTTTGACGATTGTATGGTGAAACAAATGTAGAATTTAGTCAAGGTGCGTGTGGTTCAATGAACAGAAATACATTAGTTGGGTTTTTCCCAAGTATTAGTAGACTTGTTTTGTACCACAGTGGGGCTAGGAATTCAAGATGTGAATTGATCAGCTGGTAGATGGCAAGGCTAACAGGTGTCAGGTTTTGTGCTGCCTATGTTTTCTGTGTATTATTCACTTTGAGGAAGCGAATTCAAACTTCGTAACTGTAATGTAGAGATACGTTTTAATTATCAAGTCATTGGTGAATAGATTTAACTTAGAATGAAAGGAATAAAACGAAACGATTTTCATTACAGCTTGACCTTCAAGGGACCTAACGGGCCGCTACGTTACACTGGGTTGTTATATTTGTTTGGGGTTTTGTTTTTGTTTTTGTTTTTGTTTTGGGTCCTTTTTGCTGTTTTTATTGTTGTTGTTGTTGTTTGGGGAAGAGAGTTGTTATTGTTGTTACAATTGTACTCGCTCTTTCAATGGTATTTCCAACAGCACGCTATGTAGCTTTGGCCTAAAGAATGTCCGAAATCGCTGTCTCGAACTAACCCACACAAAAGACATGTTCAATATTTCATGGCTACCTGAAGAGGGGACTCGTGAAATCTTCTCAAATAACTTAAGTTCAGGCTTAGCAGCGAGATTAAACCAAGCTTATCTTATCTGCTCCGCATGTGTCTTTCCTAATATAAACACCAAATCGCAGGTGGTTGACGGGTACTCTGATGTGGTTTACTCCTTCTTTCCCAATCAAACATCTATCGTCCTGACCTCTCCTTCTTATTTTCGTGTTTGTTCCTATCTTGTTCCAAATCATGTTACTAAAATTAAATCGGGGGCTCTCGCGGCCTAGATGTTAAGGTGTTCGTCTCTCATTCAATAGGTCTCGGGTTCGAATTTACTTCTCTTAAGTTTTCTCCTTTCACATCCTTTCCTACTCTCTGACAATGTTCGGTCGTCTGCTTTCGTTTCCACTTTCTGCCCCCCCCCCCCCCCCCCCTCCTCTTTTTTTATTCCACCCCTTCCCCCACTCGCTACTTCTTTATTATCAGCCCCCCCCCCCATACCCCTCACCTTTTTTGCCCCCAGTTCTGGGCCCCTGACTCTTCCTGCAGACTTTAGTTTGCTACTCCCTGGCTCCTTCTTACTACAGTCTTTCAGCCACACCCCTGATCTTATGGTAGGAAATAGCCTTCTCGGACAAGGGTGAAAAATCACGGAGGTCCCCCGCACAAGTTTAGCACGTTAAAGAGCCCGTTGGCTTCGGCCGCCACCCGGGCAAAATTCAAACTTTCCTACCAACTGAAAATGTTTGGTGTTCCGCACGCTCGTATAACCTTATACAGTTGCGAGCGCTGTAAAACACTAAACAAAAGAACTCTTACTAAAACTAAACCATATCCTGTTACTAAAACTAACCCAATACACTGAACTGGCGGTTTCCTTTTGTTCCAGGAGAAGACAATGTGTGGAAAGAAGTTCTGGAGATGTCAGACCCAGTACAAGTGCATTACGATACCATTGAGCAGCTCTTCTGTCAGAAAACTGTGGATAAGACCAAGAAAGAGGAGCCCGTCAAGGCCAAAGCTCCTACAGAGGTAACGAAGTGGGTGGCGGGCGGATGCTCTGATGTGGTTTACTACTTTTTTCCTATAAAACGTTAAATTTTATCATCCTAATGCCTCCTCCTTCTTTTTTGTGTTTGTTACTCTCTTGTGACACATGTAATCCTCGGCAGTTATATGACCTTAATGTTTTTAAAGTGCTGTAAAACTATTACGACCAAAGAAATAGATAACGAAGTGTATGGATTGTTATTTTTTTTGGGTATTTGAACACTGCTTGTAAGAATTACATACTTTTAAGTAGAGGAGCATTCTTCCACCTCTTCAACTTACGAAGTTGGTGGCGTAGTGGTTGGACTGACGGGCTTGCAACCGAAAGGCTTGAACCCCATCGGAGGTCCGACGTCATGTTCTCAGAAAAGGAACTTTACACAAAGTTTCCTCTCCTCGCTTGGGTAAGAAATGGGTACTCGGCTACCTATAGGGAAAAGTCTTGCCAATTTGTTAGTATGTTACCTCTTAATGGGCTGCTCGTACTGTATGCTTTTCAGGGAGGCCATTGCTGTTTTTGAGCGTGCTTTGGAGCATGGATATGCCCCATATAAATGCAGTCATTATTGTTACTCTCTATATTATTATGTCTTGTCACGTGATTTTTTGCTCCACTCTACTTAATCGTGGGTGGTTGGCGGGTGCTCTGGTATGGCTTGCACCTTCTTTCCTGCAAAACACCTATCGTCCTGATCTCTCCTCCTCCTTTTTGTGTTTTGTTACTTTCTTGTAACACTTCTAATCTTCGGCACTTCTTTGACCTCACTGAGTTGCAAGTGCCGTAACACTTTTACTAAAAAATACTTTACCTCTTCAAACCATCTCCCTGGACGTGAACATTCGCATAAACGCCAGCACCGCCTGTTGTGTTATTACATCTAATATCATACGAGGAATCTAACCTCGTACAATGTATTGTTTTATTTCATGCCGTTTCAAGTCGTCCCCAAGTCGTTTTATCTCTTTCATCCAAACCCATCTAATTTGATCGATCTGATCTCGTGATTGCATGCAACACCCCCTTTTTTTGGCCTCATCTTACCTTACCTTACCCCCATCCCCACCTGACCTCACTCTCGTATCTTCTCACCTCATATCACCTCACCCATTTCACCTCGCCCGATCATCATCTCTCCTCATGTCATTTCACCTTCATTATATCCCCAAGTCTTATCTCACTTCACCACATCTCAGCTTATACGATCTCAGCAAACCTCATCTCGATTTGTCCCAACATCGCCTTACCCCAATCTCACCTCACTCCATCTCACCTCAATTTCTTCCCTTCTCACCCACCCCAACGTCACCCCATCTTACTCCCACCAATCTCACTTCACTCCAATCTCACCTCACGCCAACTTCACCCCATCTCACCTAATCTCACCTCACCCCATCTCGCCTCACCCCATCCCTTTCCCTTTCATCCCTAGGTTAACCTCCTGGACATGAAGCGCAGTATGAACGCCAACATCTTTCTGAAGCAGTTCAAGGCCTCTCACAACGAGGTTGTGCGTATGATCAAAGAAGGAGACAGTACCAAAATCGGTGCTGAGAGGCTGAGAGGGCTGCAGAAGATACTCCCGGATAAGGATGAGGTATGCCGTTACTCCGAACCTTAAACTCATTTGTTCTTGCAAAAAGTAGAACGCTTCAAACTGAAAAGGAGCCACTCTCTCACATTATCAACTTTTATTTTCTTTACACAGCATCCCATCCGCTCTCCCTTCATCTAGCCTCACGATATTTTTTCTCTATTTAACTTCATAAAAGGCACCATGAATTTTATCTTTATGTATAAGGTTATGTTTCTTTGCGCTTAGCAATATGGAAATAATAATATGATTTTTTTTTAAAACAGACATTCGTTGGTTGAACATATTTCCCGGGGTCCAACTTAAACAAACAGTACCGTTGTTGATTTTAAAAATTACAGAAATGTCATTGTTCGTGAAAAAAAAATGAAATGCTTGTATTTTATTTCAAATGGGAAAATCTGAAAAATCTTTATTAGTATTAAACTCGCGTACTTTCATTGAAAAAAGCCCCTTAAATATCTGTATTCATCGAGCTATTAATATGAATAATGATATGTACGGTACGTTCAAGTTCAGGAAATTTGACACAAACAGAATTCTCTTAAACTAGTGAAGTAATAATACAAAGCTGATAATGAAGCTTTCAATATTTCCCTCTCAAGGATCAGTAAACTTTATTTTCCTTATCTTGGCCCACTTTATCATATCTCGTCCTTTTTGTTTACTGAACACGTACATTTTGTAATTCCAGGTCCTGATGATTCAGAATTATGATGGAGACAAAGAAAAGCTTGGCAACGCTGAAAAATTCATTTTAATGCTGTCTGGTTTGAATGGCTACAAAATCAGGGTACGTTCAAGTTTGTTAGCTAGCTGTATTGGGTAATGGGGTTTTTGTCTTTGAATTTGTCATTCTTGGAAATTAAATTATGTAGCCCCTTTTGGGGAGTGCTGTTAGCTCATAATATGGTATCCTGTTGGACTATGGTGCCCATGATTCTGATTCGAACCCCACAGAACTTTAGTTATTCCAGTTCTCTCACATGTCTTAGTCCTGTTGGAGAAGGGCTTAGAATTAGAGTTACGCCTTGTAAAGTAGCCTTACAATGTCAAGGGACATTAAATATCATACCATACGAGAACCAAGTGAAAGACAGCTGAAATTGTTTTTGTTTGTTCTCTGTTTGTTGTTTCCTTTCTGGTTGATATTTTATAATATAAGTATGTGAGTCAACCTTTCTGTACGACTGTGAATGCTGGATAATTCGCTACCTCAAAATGACAAGGTTCTAACAGCTCAATACCTAGTTTTGAGAAATCTGACGTCAAAGATTTTGAGTTACCCATCATGTTCAGCTTTTTCGAATGTAATTCTTTGAATATCTTGATAACGACTCTGATTATCTTAAGATTTTGAAAGAGCAGATAAAATATTTGGTTTCTGACCTCATAGTCTTAGTAACTCAAAATTGCTAAAATGTCAAATAGAGCGTTGTAATTCTACGGTAGCGAATTACCAGAGACAGTGAATATAACATAGAAGGAACAGAAATGCTGTTTCTTTGGGAATTGTTTGGAATGTTACTTAAGGAAATGAAATTAAATGACTGAAAAAAAGTCTACGTGACCAATACTAATTTTAAAAATTAAGAAAAGACATTAAACGTAGTCTCTGAGGCCCTTGATCCACCTAAAACCCTTGAATACGATGAAAACGAGGCAAGGGTAGATTCAAAGCAACTTATTTGGAAAGACGGGGATAATAACATGGGCTTTTTAGAACATACACAGGCCGAAGGGCTCGAATTTATATGGCCACTGGATCGCAAAAATTAAAAGCAATCGAGCAAAGAAATCGAGCGATGATCGCGGATGTCAGTTTCAAAACTGGAACTTTGAGATGATGATGATGAATCCTTCGGGGGATATTCATGTTGGCATCCTGTTTGACACCTGCAACTGTCTCTCATTTCCTTGGCTGTTTATTACTCTTTTACAAAGACCCAAGTTTGGTGATTGGAGGGCGCACTTTTAGGTCCAACTTCTTCTCTTTCACTCTGTTATGTCGGTTTATCTGTCTTGCTTTTTCCCTGCACTGTGTGACTGTTTTCGTGTCGATGTGCCTCTCTTTACTGAAACTCAGACTCAGAGACCTAGGATGTGTGGCATCTCTTCATGTCTGTTTAAAAAAGAACACACATTAAACAAAATTAGTGAGTGGTTGGCGGGTGCTCTGGTGTGGTTTGCTTCTTCTTTACTGCCAAAAATCTATCGTCTTCTTCTCCCCTCCTTCTTTTTTGTGTATGTTACTCTCTTGTAACACCTCTAATCTTCGGCACTTATATGACCTTATTGTGATGCAAGTGCTGTAAAAAACCTACTAAAACTAAAACCAAAAAAATGCCCTTGGTGATGAAAATGATTTTGATGACGTCACCAGGTTGAAGGCATGCTTCTGAAGGACGACTTCCGTGTTGCTATGGACTCTCTCCGGCCAAACGTGGAGGTGGTGATCACAGCGTGCAACATGCTCATGGACAACGCCTCACTCAAAGGCTTCCTCAGATACGTTCTTCACGCAGGAAACTTCATCAACGCTGTATGTCTGCTCGCAGTGTTGTCCTTATATTTCTTTTTTTTTGTTGCTTGTTTTTGTTGGGGTTTTTTATGTTGTTGTTGTTGTTGGTGGGTTGTTGTTTGTTTTTGGTTTTTTTTGGGGGGTGGCTTTGGTTTTATTTTAAATGCATGCTAAAGTTGAAAAAAATGCGAGTGGTTGAAAGGTGCTCCTGTGTGGTTTTCTCCTTCTTTCCCATCAAACATCTATTGTTCTGACCTCTGTTCCTTCTTTTTGTTTTAGTTACTCTTGTAAAACCTGTAGTCTTCGGCACTTATAAATTATTATGACCTCATTGTGCTACGAGTGTCGTATAACTCTTACTGAAACCAAAAAAGTTGAAAAAGAAAAGGTTCGGGGATGCCACTGGTAGATACTACTTCTTTACTTTCCCTTTGTTGTTTCTTTCTGTCTGACTTTCTTACTTTTTTCCAGAACTAAATAGCCATTATTGTGTAAATGTGCTTCTGTTTACTCAAACAAGAGAAACTAAAAAAACCCAACCATTTAAACAAACGAACAAAGTTGTAAAGAGCTAAAAAACAAACCTATGAATGTCTTCAGTCGTTTCTGTCTCCTACCTCCCTTTACTCACCCACTAGCGTTCTCTGCGTTTTCACTCCTGGTGATGATGATGACGATGCTGCTGCTGCTGCTGCTG